TTAAATCTAATTGGTAGGTAGAGCGCGATCAAATAAACAAAAACAAACAAAACATCTCTTGAGCTATATAATATTACTATACATAAAAAATATAAGTAGGAAAAATGTACGTACAGTGAGTACTCGTATGTATGTATGTATGTATGTATTTACATGCGTGGAGGAGTCAGATTTGTATTTGAATTATTTAGTTTCACTTGTGATTCAATGAATTATCAAAACAAATATTTTATAAGCTTTTTCAAAATTGTACTTAAAAATTACATATTTTTAGTGAATTATTAAAAAATATATTAATACTTAGAAAGGTTTACTTAACGCTTATATTTTCGAGTAACTTCGACCCAGTTTCGTGGTTCCTATATAACTTGTTTTAAGTGACTTTTGTCTGCTACATATTGAGACAATTTTAAGTATTGCTCGAGATACCGCCGACGAGAGTTGAACTATAAAAGTCTGAATAATAATTATAATAATACTAAATACCAATTGTACTCCAAAGCATTAACACATCATGAAAATATTTTTCAAGGTACGTCATATCATTATTTTTTTCTTTAATTGCATGTATTTTTCTAGAAACAATATTTAATTTTGATGTTATTTAACTAATAATTATTTTCTTAAATACAACTCAATTCGAATACAGGTATATGCTGATCGTCATTCTATAATTTTTTCAAACTATGTGCTCTAAGTGTCATGTCGCGTTTTCATTCAAAAGGAGGGGTCTCTTTTGGGTTTAAAGGGTTTCTCTAAATATTTTACTAGCTTTTTACAGTTTCCAGTGTTTGTAAGAAACATAAAATAAAAAATGCACATGAGCGAAGGCAGATCTAGCGATCTTCCTTTGACTAAGCCGTTGATTAATTCTGCAATTCGTAGATATATTGGCAATTTGGCATTTTTTAATTATGGTTCTTCATGAATTTCCGCAATGAAAGACACGTGTAACAACGGAGTGGGATACGATCTCACCCCGTTGAGTTAGAATTACAAAAATACTTTAAAAATATCTTCAATATTTCGACTCGCTTTTGTGCTTTTTTACATTAATGTAACTAGCCGGGTTCTGTTACGGTAACCAATCTCACTGAGACTAGACATATGCGCAGAAAATATAATATACGCTAACACAAGTACAGAGTGTACTCTTCCTTTCAAACTGCGTGCCCGGCGCGGTGGGACGTTGTTTCACCGCCGGTGAGTGATGAAGCATAGAACTGATGGTTTTACATAATATTATTAAAGGCTAACGAATTATAGAACAATACTTATCTTATGATGAATAGAACATGTAACGACTTGTCATTTTTTAATGTATGTATTCTGTGAAAAAAGGCATTGTATGCTGTGCAATGTGCATTATGCATGCAATGCATTTTTTCTAAGGTTACTACAAAATGTCAGATTAGCGACTCCGGACTCACCCTCACTCGACTCGGATTCATCCCTAGATACGTTTTGACGATTCGTATAGATTTCTCAGAGATGAGATATTTTCACAGTACTATATCACACAGCTATCATCATACCAATTTTCATCAAAATCTGTCCAGTTGTTTTCTCGTGATGCGTTCCCAGACAGACCGACAGATAGACAAACAAACAAACAAAGAAACATAAATTGTAAAAACTATAGATTCGGCCTCTATGTCGATAATAATGACTATTTCAACCAAATCTCCAAAAAATATTTAATATACAGCTTCGACTCAGTTAGAATTTTATTATATACTATACCTATAGATAACGTGCGAGTGTCTTGGGTATCTTCTATATTTCAAGGAAGAGGTGAAAAGATTTCGCAAGATAATTTATTACTTCAATTTCACAAATACCTTTGTCCAGAAGAATAAAATATTAAAAAAATTATAAGAAAACATGTACTATCAACACTCGCAAAAACAAATAACCATGGTCATTACCTACAGAAAACATTGAAATATAACATTAAGTTTATAAATAATTATTTGCCTGGCTTTAGCAAATAATAACTCGTCTGAATTGATTACTTCACACATACCAATACGTGACGGCGACGCTCCCGCAACAACACATTCAATCAAAAATGTTCCTAAAATATCAATTTAATTAAAAAAAATAAGTAGAATGGTATCCCCAAAAATAAAAAGCGATTTTTTTTAAGTTTTTATAAGTTGTAAAAAAAGAAGTAAAAAGTTAAAAAGCATTTTATTCCGATTGTTAATAAGCCGTTTTAAACTTCTTAACCTTTAAACTATAATGAAGCTCCTTCTTCTATGTGAAAATCATCCCATATCGTAATTATGGTATATTTTCAAACCTGGAAACTTCATACCATATATTAAATATTTGTGTACTTATCACAGTCTTACTAGCGTATTTACATTTTAACAGCAAGAGGGAAAAAAATCGGTCAAGTGCGATTCGAATTCCCACACGAAAGGTTCGGTACCACCGTACATGTACTTTTTATTAATATAGCTTTTACTCTATATAAGTAGTATATTAACTTTCATGATCGATTTCGATCGAAATCGAACGAATATCAAAAAAATGTTTCTTGCATTATTATTATTTTTTTTAATTTATTTCTATTATTTATTATTATAGCTGCAAATAGAAATACATACTCTGTGAAAATTTCAACTCTCTACCTATTACAATTCATGAGATGCAGCCCTCGGACTAACGGACGGACAGCGGAGGCTTAGTAATAGTAGGAACCATAAAATGAGGGTGTAACATTGATTTATTAATCGACTTCCGACTTCCAAAAATGAGGAGGTTCTCAATTACTCGATTACTCGAAGACGCCTGAACAGATTTAGCTTTTTTTGTTTCGAAGGGTATAACTTCCCACCAGGTGGTCCCATATAAATTATATCGAAATCGGTAGAGAGTAAGATTAAATCCATCTTTATAAAAAAATAATTACAATAATTAACATTAACAATCATGCATTTTATAATAATTAAATAACTTATTTCTAAAACTTGATGGAGAGTCATAAAAAATGTCAATGCCAGGAATTGATTTAAGGATATCATTATATTTGTTACACAACCGTACCAAGGGGGCTTGTTTACCGATATTTTATTAAAATATCTTCTTTTTTTTACATGCCTTCGACTTACATCTTTGTAGCTTAATAATAACCAATTAATAATTTCCGATTACGATGTATGGTTCGGCGGTACTTTACTCTCTACTGACTCTAAAATTTAGATGGGCCCCTAGGTCGGGCTAAGTTTCGGGTAAAACTGTCGTGTGTACACTCATACTTGTGCAAAATCGATCGTCTTGGCCATTAAACGGAAACCTAATCACATAAGAATAATCTATTATCTATACATATAATAAAATTGTAACTAAGTCAAATCTGTACATTAAATATTTTTTGGAAAATCTAATTTAATTAGACATTATTATCGATACAGAGTCCGAATCTATAGTTTTTAGAATTTTTGTCTGTCTGTCTGTGTTCCCGCATCACGAGAAAACCACTGGACAGATTTTGATGAAAGCTGGTTAGCTTTGGTATGATCATAGCTAGTTATCCGGGTCAACATGTAGGATACTTTTTACCACGGGAAAATATCTCATTTCTGAGAAATAATACAAAAACTGCATTGTATAAAAACTTTTTAACAAAAAAATAAAAACCGACTTCAAAAAAAAGCACTAAAAAGTAAAAAATAACTGATTGGTAGTTTTCATTTACTATACATACCTAATCAAATATTTTCGAAGTCGGTGTGCTTTGGCTAAGTAATTAAAGCCTACCTATTAAATACATACCTAATCAAATATTTTCGAAATCGGTGCCAGCCCATACAAAGCAAAGCACACCGACTTCGAAAATATTTGATTAGGTATGTATAGTAAATGAAAACTACCAATCAGTTATTTTTTACTTTTTAGTGCTTTTTTTTGAAGTCGGTTTTTATTTTTTTGTTAAAAAGTTTTTATTTTTCCCTTTTTAGTGTAGACAGTAGTAGCAAAGTAAGAATTCTAACGTGTTAGGCTTGTCAAATCAAACAAAATAAGCCCAAACTCAAAGTATCTACTATTAGCTGTTGAAGAGTTCCACCTATCCACCTTCTGGCCTTACCATCAGATCAGGTCAACAATACCGAACCACTGTACTATCAACGGAAATGGAAACACTTGCAAAGTTTCAAGTCAATATGACAATTAGAAGTAGGTTAAATTCATCATTAGCTATTTTTCCACCCTTAGGAGTAGTATTTTTTATCGAAATTTAAATGGGACCAATCTGGAAGTATACACTTTCAAACAAAACAAAAATTGTCAAAATCGGTTAATAAATGACGAAGTTCTGAGGTAACAAACATAAAAAAAAAAAAAAAAAAAACAAAAAAAAATACAGTCGAATTGAGAACCTCCTCCTTTTTGAAGTCGGTTGAAAAGTATACTATTATGTAAAACCTAAGAATTTAGCTTTTGGTCATTTGAACGCGGGCGTAGCCGCGGGCAATGTTAGTTTTAAATAGTCCTCATGGAACATAGCGCTAGAGAGTCAAATGTATGTATAAACAAACATAAATAATGCTCTTAGAACGCATTTACGCAGAAGGCTTTATTATATTAGGTAAATTTTGTTATTTGTAGATTCTGTTACCGTGTGTGATGGCCAAGACATTATATTTATTAAAGAAATAAAGATATCTAATATTGATACGGTCACTATAAAATGTTGTTTATTAACTAATTACTACTGAATAAATTAACCTACTTGGTTTTATATTAGACCTCACAACTTTTTCTGTATAAGAATTGCGTTGCGCGATTCGCATTTTTTACTTGTTATGTTTTTGATAGGATGTAGGTACATATTATTCCAGGTCATAGTCTGCGTACTAAATTCCATCTAGATCCGTCCAACCGGTCCAGCGGAGTCTGGAGTCCGAATTGATTCAAGAGCAAAAACACATACAAACAATAGTAATTTATAGTGCTTATTTTTTAGTTTATTGCATATATCTGACTTACAGATGAAGACTACTTCGCCATGCCGCAGCTGTTCGGTATGCACGGCGACTACATCCCGTGCTTGAAGCTCCGCGGCGTATACTGCGTCGGCGACTTCGAGCTCTCTCCTGTTGGGAACGACAGATTATTTCGGATAATGAAGGTAATCCATATCCATATTAATATTATAAATGTGAAATGTGTGTTTGTTTGTTTGTTTGTTTGTTTGTTTGTGTGTTTGTTTGTCTTTCTTTTACGTCGAAATGGAGTGACGGATTGGCTGATTTTTGGTGTGAAGATAGTTGGAGAGCTAGAGAGTAACATATGCATACATATGCTACTTCTTATCGCGGTAGATCATCTCATTCCCACAGGAAAACACGCTATAAAACAATCCAAAAAAAATTCTGATCAGAATTACTCGAAAATGGGTGTTAATACTCTTCAATACAATTAAATAAATACGTGTTTTAGCTTTTTCGAAATTCATCCTTTAAGGAGAAAAATACGTAATTTTAAATACATACATATTATAAACAGAAGATTTAATAATGCTTTAAAAAAGGTAACGCAATTATATTATTGTAATATTGTTGTATTGAATTATCATTAACCAACTAGCACGCTAAAAATCACAAAACAAAAAAAAATGTCTTAAGGACTTTTTACATTAAATTTTCAATACGGTACAAAATTAGAGATAAAGCTAAAATATGTGCGATAACTCATTGGATCCGGAATGACATCTGGAAAATTGTGTTTAAACCATTTTTCAGCACGTAAAAAAAATGCAAAAGTTATAAGCAAATAAAGATGAAAAAAAATACGGTATTTAGTTTTACACTGAACTATCAATAATTAAGAAATTAAAAAAAATCCCTAAAGACAAGGAAATGCAATAAAAAAGTCCCAACTTCCGGAACTCTACCTGTATTAAATAAATAAATAAATAAATAAGTGCGCGCGCCGCCTCTAAAGGGAGTAGGTAGGTACATCATATAAAATACACGACTTTTTTTTAGGTTCCAAATATCAATTTTAAAATTTGAATAAATTATGGTGTATTGTAAAAACTTCAAAGAATTTACTCCCGTTAGAAAAAGTTTTTAAGTTAATTTTTCGAAAAATTAGACGATTATTTACTAACAAAATTTTGTTGGACCTTCGTTGTTATTGGATACAACAAAAAATTATTATATACGTAACAAGATCACGTCATGAAATTTTTGAAAATTAAAACGATATCCAGCCAGTCCCAGGTTAACTACCGCACTGGGAGGCGGGCCCGCCTCGGTGTGTAGTGGGATGCAGCGGATGGATGCTGGGTGTCTGAAATCATAGCGAATAGGGATAGAGGTCTTGGCTCAACAGTAAATAGCGGTAGACTGATGATGCAATGATGATGATGAAATGATGAAATGTTTCCACCGTGAAAAAATGTACAGTAGTAAGTAATTAATCATTGTTATTTTGCAGGGTCTCTCAGCAAACTGGGTGGACAGCTTTAACCACACGCGGCTGCACCGCGCGATATGCGTCTCGCGCGTCTGCCCCGCGCCGGACCCGCTGCTGCCACCCACTCCGGAGGACTGGTGAGCGAAACCTTTCATTTTATTAAGAAAATTAATTATTATTTCATACTAACTCGTTTTGCTTGACAATATATAATGATATCCCACGGTAAATACTTTACGTACTGAAGTAAAAATTGCTCGACTCTTTTTGGAACAAAGTTCCTTTTAAATGAAACTATGTTTTCGGATTTTTTCGCGGATTTATTTGGATTTTTGGTTTCCAAAAACCAAAGGAAATCAAAAATCATAATAAATCCGCGAAAAAATTCGAAAAGATAGTTATTTAAAATGTCAAATATTCGCGTAAATCTGAGAAAGTATTAAACAAAGTTCCTTATCGCATGATATGCTCGGCACACACATATATATATATATATATATATATATATATATATATATATATATATATATAATTGCCATTCCTTGAGTCTTGTGGACCCCTAGTACTCTTGACAATTATTGTCACCAGATATTATGAGTTAATGGCAACAGGCATACAGGTATAAAAAAATATATTATTCAGAACTTAGACCTCCTTACAGTTTGTTTACAGTGTAAGGCAGTGGTAGCCCATTACTAACGCGCTTGCTTGAGAAACCGAGTGAAGCGGGTTCAAATCCGGGTCTCGCACCTCTGATATTTTCATGTGCGAATTATTTCTAACATGATTACCACTTGCCTTACGGTGAAGGAAAAACATCGTGAGGAAACCTGCATGTCTGAGAGGACCTAGCAAGTTTTCGAAAGACATGTGAAGTCCGCCAACCCGCACTTGGCCAGCGTGGTGGACAATGGCCTGATCCCCCTCGTATTGAAGGGAGGCCCGTGCCCAGCAGTGGGACGTAGAAAAGGGCTGAACTTCGAAAATATCTGATTAGGTATTTATTCTAAATGAAAACTTCCGTTTAGTTATTTTTTACCTTTTTGTGCCTGAAAGTCGGTTTTTATTTTTTGTTAAAAGTTATTTCGATGAACATATTGTGTTTACCTTATTGTCAGAAATTATAATAACTTTAATTAAAGTCGGAAAAAAATAACCGTTGAGTTACTTTATCCGCTATTATTAGACATCTATAAAAGTGAATGTCAATGTGAAAGTGTGTTTGTTTGTTCGTTTGTTTGTCCTACTTTCACATCGAAACAGGGTGACGGATTGGCGTGATTTTTTGTATAAAGATAGTTGGAGGGCTGGAGAGTGATATAGGTTTACTGTTACCGCGGAAGATCATCTCATTCCCACAGGAAAATACGTTATAATGCAACCCACACCGATTCATCATACAAATATATGTATATATAATATTATACTGTATATCTATTCCATACTAACCGTTAAAAATACACCTAGGGACTAAACTTATATGTTAAAGTAAAACAATCATTTACAACCTGAAAATGCATAGAATTTTGACTTTAAAAATAACAAAACATTACTAATTTCATCCTCTATCATGCTAGGTTTGAGTCGTGCGTGAACGCGAGCATGGCCGCCTACAATCTGACGGCGAGACTCTACCGCCTCGACTACTGCAACAAAGGACAGGTTCCTGCAAAGCCACTGACAACTAATGATAAAGCATTCGTGTTTGTCGTCGTTATATTGTTGGCCTTAACAATGTTCAGCACTTATCTCGAATCGAACCTCCCCGAAGACATCAAAAAAGGTAAGAGGCTTTTGTTTTACCCGAGATAAAGTATAATATGTCAATCTTTAACAGCACAATCCTATAGCCCAAGATGACTGAAACCCTCGTTCGCACAGTTGTCATGAACTAATTTCTGGATCAACCGTTGTTGGTTCAATCACTGTACGTGACAAACACCTGTATGTTTAATACTTGTTAAGCATGATTTACTAAAAAACTATTAAAAATATACTGCCTACAGCTGGCAGTGGTAGGTCAATGGTAACGCGCTTGCTTGTAGAAACAAGTGAAGTAGGTTCTTATATTTTCATGTGCGAATCATTTTTGACATATTTCCACTTACTTGTCTTACGGTGAAGGAAAACATCGTAAGGAAACCTACTGCATATGTTTGAGAGAACCTAGCTAGTTTTCGCATAACATATGAAGTCCTGATCCCTGTTGTGTCGCCTTGAAGGTAGGGTACACTAAAAGCAACTTTTTTTCTCGAAATTCCCAAAAATAAATCCGTTTCTTTTAAAATTCCAAAGAAAGTCTCTTTTAGATTACGGCTGGATTCTCTCCTGGTCTCTAAAGTCCTCGTGGGAGTCCCTCGTGGCACCAACGCCGAGCGCGCGGGGCTCGGACCTGCGCTGCCTCGACGGACTCAGAGTCTGCTGCATGCTGTTTGTAGTGGGCGTCCACGTATCCTACTATAACATGATAGGATACCCCGGAGATACGAGCTTTGAACGTGTAAGTTTCATAAAAATTTAGCCATTTTATAATGGTCATTTGATCTTTTATAATTTAAAACGCAAATTCAAAAAAAAACTATTTAAATAGACTTTTACAGGTACTTTTCATAACGTGCAAATCATAATATTATGAGCTCAATACGGTAGAAATTACAAAATTACAGACAGCATTCAACTATAATAATCCCATATTATAAATAATTATTATAAATGCGACACTTTGAATTGATGTTTGTTACTCAACCACGCTAAAACGGCTGAACGGATCTATGTGAAATTTGGCACAGAGATAGATTATAGTTTGGAATAGCACAAAGGCTACTTTTTATCTCGGGAAAATGTACGGTTCCCGTGGGATAGATTTGTTTTTGTTTTACACTAGGGATAACCTCTCTGCCTCGGTGGTGTAGTGGCTAGCATTTACGGCCGCACACCCGGAGGTGCTGGGCTCGAGTCCCGGGTCGTGCCAAGTTTATTTATTGAGTCTTTCTGTATAAGTAAGCCTCAGTAACAGCCCGGAGTTGGGAAGTTGGCGGTGTTTCACCCCCGTGCCTCGGAGAGCACGTAAAGCCGTCGGTCCTGCGCCTTAACTCTCAGTGGTCGTGTCGAGTAGTCGTCCCACCGGAATATGAGAGTGACAGGAATAGAGAGTGCACGTTGTGTCTGCGCGTACTAGAGACTAGCCAACTGCGCAACTATAATATCTCCTGCGCAGTTGGCTAGTCTCAATGAGATTGGCCGCCGTGGCCGGAATCGGTCGGGAGAGCATCATCATCAGGGACAACCTCAAGCGAAGTGAGGGTGTGTAGTATTATAATAATAAAATGTGATATCTCGTCTCTGTAGTCAAAAAAGACATCCTTTCTTTCTTTCCTGCATTTTTTTATATTTGTTTAATCAGATAAATATTTCATAAGTTAGGTAGAATTTTACAGTAATTACAAAATAAACAAATAAATTCCACTGCTGGGCACTGGTCCCCTCGCCTCAAGGTAAGGTCCTCCACATGCGGATTGGCAGATTTCATATGAGTTCCGGAAACTACTTAGATTCCGTCAAACAAACAGGTTTTCTTATGATGTTTTCCTTTAAAGCTTGTAAATTTTAATTACTTTTAGGAACATCGAAGACCGCTCGCCATGTTTGTTGTAAATAGTACTTTAGTAGTGCAAATCTTCTTTCTCATGTCAAGTTTTCTAATGGCTCACAAATTGCTTCAAGACATGAAGCAAGAATCTCCGGTGAAAACTTTCTTCCGTTCCATGCTGAATAGATTTATTAGGTAAGTAAAATAAAATATAATATTTTATTTATACTTACCTACTCGATAGAGATGACATATTAAGTAACTTGAAGCCTTTTAATTTTGAGACTTTACGCTGTTTGATTTGCTGATTCGTTGTAAAAATTTATGCATATAATCTAAGGAGCTATCTTAGTTATATCGCAGCACTAGCTCACGCGTCTTCGTGAATTGAAATGTGTGAAACACGCGAAGTCCATTTGTTTCGAAAACATAGAAGTATGATGACTCTTAAATTTCTCTCGTTGGCAAAGATTTAATTTTTTGTATAGGCTGTACAATGTGCATATTCTATAACAACTTATTTATATTATAATATTATAAGGAGACAGTTTGTTTGTTTGATTGAACGCGCTAATCTCAGGAACTACTAATCCAATTTAAAAAAAAACGTTTTTGCATTAGATAGCCCGTTTATTGAGGAAGACTGTATGCTATATATCATCATGCTAAGTTACCCAAGGGAGCGGAGCAGTTGTCATAAACGTCAACAAATTGGGCAGACTTCCATACATTATTGTAAAACTGATGTTTATAATTTAATTAACAAATTTAATGCGGGTTTAGTAAAACTATAATTAGGTAATTTTTCCAGTTTTAGTCCTCTTTTTGCGGTTATGCAAAAGACGTCGCAATAAAACAGAGCATAATATGCATTATAAATATCCTAAAATATGTGTATTAAATAGTAAAAAATATCCTTAGGGTCAGTCCCAGCTACTTTATGGTAGTTTGGTTTACAATGACTTGGTTCGAGAAGTTGGACGACGGGCCGCTGTGGCCGCCGCTGGTGGGCGCGGAGGCGGCGCGCTGCCGGCGTACCTGGTGGCGGCAGTTCACCTACCTGGACAACGCTATCAGCATGGACGGCAGATGCTTAATACAAAGCTGGTGAGTGCTGTTATTATAGGAATACTATCATATATGCCAAAGTTTGTACATGTATCTGTGTGTATGTTTATTACTTCTAAAACGGCTGAGCAGATGTGGATTAAAAGCACACAGAGTGACGACGAACTGCAGTTAAGCATATACTTCTGTTAGAAACCTAGAGATGCACCCGAGCGAAGCGAGGTTAAGTCGCTTGTATGTTTATAAAACTTTGATTATATTTATTTACATATTTATACTTAATCGAAGTTAAAAAAAAAAAACAAATATAAACTATAATTATTTTATACGTTATTGAGTAGAATATTCTAAGATGCCGTTAATGTGCTTAGTGCGTGCGTTATATCTCAGGGAAGATTGATGAGTCGATACATTACATTATGTATGTGTCAGCACGTACCTATTCATTAAAACGAGTATAAAATAATTAATATGTGTTGAAGTACTTTATAATTATATTTATATGGAAAAAATTATACAAACTTAAAGAAACTGATAATCTTAAGTAGGCAGTATTTAGTTTTAGGACTTTGGACTGTTTTTCATATTGTCTATGACGTAATATTTCGTTATTTTTAAAATTATAGGTACTTCTTTTGGCGCGTTAGGGAAAAATGATGAGAATGGATTTTTACAATGTGACAGAATCAGACTATAGTATGAAGTTAGTCGTTATTATACTACAGTATGAGGTTATTCGTTAATTCTCCCTTTAGTATAGTGGTATGAGTAAATGCATTTCCGAACGTTTAAAAAAAGCGTCACGTAACGAAATAGATAACGAACGAAAAAGGTTGTGCTTTATTATTTACTAAAAGCATCCCATGTGACGTCATCACAAATACCAGGCGACTTTGAAGGTGACATACATACATATATAATGAACACTCCTTGAGGGTTGTGTTCCCTAGTACTCTTGATAAGATTTTATAATTGTCCAAGCGGATTATAAGTATTGAAGAGCTTTTCTTCGACGAACTTCAACATGGTCAGTACGTTGCTCGATTATTTGAATTGAACCAATGTACGAGCCACGGGCGGACAGCGACCGGTTGTCCTACGACACTGACCGATTTTTACAAGCTTTTATTTAACTTGCCATGTTAGTTCTAGTTTGGGTCGAATCTTGTACCTAAATTTTAAAGCAGTTATCTCAACCGATTGAGCTGAAATTTTGCATACACGGTAAGTTTTATGGAGGGTAGAAGTAAAGAGAACTATCTCTGTAATGAAAGTGTCCGTTAAAATGCGTTAAATTAGAGTGGCGCCACGGTAGGAAGTACTTACATTTTGAAGAAAACGGCTAAAGTATTAATTAGTTCATAAAAAATAAATCACTCTCTACGTTTATATCACCACAGTTATATTTATCTAATAAATTATTTTGGACTACGTAAATAGTTTCAATAACTACTCAAGTCACCCAAAATACCTATTAAATTTTTGAAGTCTGCACTCGTTTACAACTGCTAAATTCATATCATATTCCTTACTTACGCTAGCGCTATTCTCGTTGGTTTTTGAACGGTTATTTACGGTTTACAGGACACTGGACACTTTTTCAATTTGTCTACCACATAAGATTATTTTCACCCAACATAGTAAATTTGGATGACAATAATTCATGGTCACCTAAGTGACGTCATTTCCAATCCAACATGGCGGCCTCCCAACGATGGCGGACGTTTTTTTATGCACCCCCATGATATGGATATCAAATGAAAGGGTTTGCTGAGAAGAATACGAATAATTAAAAAATAAAATAATTGTAAAAAAATATGTTAAAAGCAAGCTTTTATTTAAATGCTCTAAAAAGAAGAAAATATACTTTAAATTAAATCAAACCCAATAATTTATTACATTACACAATTTATATGATATAAAAGCAGATATGTAAAACCTAAGAATTTGGTTTTTGGTCATCTGAACACGGGCAGATTCCCATTCTCATTTATTAAAAATATATTTTAATTTAAACCTTTATCAATTGTATTACATAATTTTTACATAAGTAAACACACGCATTTTTTTAATCTCTTAATTAAAATATAGGAGAACTAGCGGCTCACCCTCGCTTCGCTCGGGTTCGCCTACCGCCTAGTATCTAGAAAATTAAAAACAAATTTATCCCTCGCGAACCGTATATTTTTCCAGGATAAAATGTCCAGGTGTTCCAGGATAAAAAAATGAGTTATTCCAGCCTATAATCTATCTCTGTGCCAAATTTAATCCAAATCCGTTCAGCCGTTCTGGCGTGATAGAGTAACAAACATCGATACATACTCACAAACTTTCACATTTATAATATTTATACAAATAATATACTATCGTATACTCATTTTATTTTTTGACATGTCTGATAATTAATATTTCCTTTCCAAAATACCATTAAAAGTTAATATAATAATTAAAGTAAGTATACATACTCGTGCTTTATTCGAATAGATTTTTACAAGCACGTTTGAAGGGTCATATATTGATAAAAAAATTTTTTTATTTAAATTAGATAAAAGTCAATACGTAAGTTTGAGTTGAAATTCCGTTAGATGTAGGCAAGTAATCAAAGACCTTACAAGTAACACATTCTGCCAGTATCAAGTATTATGTGGAAGACACGAATGAGTTAGTGGTAATTATGAAATTGAGCAGTGTCATAAAGTAAAATTAAAACTATGTATGGATGGTCGGTCTACCTTTTTTTTTTAATGTTGGGAAATGCATTTACACATATCTGTACATATAGGTGATCATATGGGGCTCATCAACTAGAAAAGTCAGTACTACCCACTAAAACCCAATAGAACTTCCCCCGTCTTAATTGGGCGTTGCAGGATCACTTATGCACTCAACCACGAGGCCCCGACGGCAGGTCTGCCGAAGCAAACTACATAACCACGGGGTTGCTCCCTCGGTCCACTCTGCTGTTAGAGAAGTACCAGGAGCACCCCGCATGGCACACCGCCCACCGAAGTGGGCTACCTCCCTGCGTCTCTTGGCTTCACGCCCGGCTGGATTGCTAGACATTTATAAGTCCTCCTACCACAACAAGGTGAAAACACATCAGGAGGGACATGGTGGGTCTACCGACAGGAACAGCCATCAATAATAAACAGAGAAGTTCAATTCAATTTAAATTTCTTGTTAATGGCTTCAAAGCGTGCCAGTTAGGCACAAAGTATTTCGCCAATGTCACGTAAAATAAAAGCTTTATATTTATATTGTACAGTGACATGTTGTGGCAGGTACTTGTCAGTGGACATGCAGTTCTACGCGCTGTCACTGGTGCTGACGCTGGCGCTGCGCGGGTCGCGACACGCGCTGCCACTGCTGGCTGCGCTGTTTCTGCTCGCGATCGCCCTCAACCTGGCGCAGGCCTACGCGTGGCATCTCGTGCCCACCTTTCTTCTGCACAACTACCAGTGAGTGGATTACTCGAGTTTTATGTTCGAAAAGGATAATATTGAGGTTCTATTTCTCAGTAAAATAACCCCCTGACTGAGACTAGCCATGTGCGCAAGTATGGACAAGTTTATACGGAAATAAAACGTGCATATCTACTCTATTTCCTTTCACTCTCAAACTCCAGTAAGATTACAATTCAACCACAAAATAATGAGAGATCGAGCGCATGATCGACGAGTTAATGTGCTCTCCAAGGCACAGGCATGAGCCCAGAACCTACGTATCTATAGCCGTATACTGTAGCTACTGGACCAACGAGATCAAGGTCGGTAAGAAAACGAGAAAAAGTTTCCAATAAAATTCTTAACGTTGCATATTTACAATAATAATAAATATTAGTTTGTTATTATAGTACCTATCTACATGTAAACAGCGCCAATACAGAAATCTTACTACTGCTACTTAGAAATCAATAAACAATATTATAGGTCAATCATAAGGATATACGAAGATAACCTGTCTATGAATGCATTGTACAAGTCGCCGCTGGGCAGCGCGGTGAGCCCGCTAGCGGGACTACTGATGGCGCACGCGCAGGTCTCCGGCCAGGGCGGGGGTATCAAAAATATACTTCTTAAGAGCAAGGTAATTTAACGTTTTTGACATTTTTTGTACACTTACGCGCACTTGCTTAATAAACAATCAGAATGGCAATAGCAAAACCAGATTATAAAATGCACTGCAGCTTATTTTTGCAGAACAAAAATGTATTAATAGCGGCTGCATTATCCACAGCAGTAGGCCACAGGTATCTAAAATGTTCGAGGAGGGGTAAGCCATTGTCCACCACACTGGTCTACTAGTGGGTGAACTTCACATCTTCTTCTTTCAAAAACTAGTTAAGTACTCTCAGACATATGTAGGTAATCCCACAATGGTTTGTCACCGAAAATTTGCTCCAAGTTATTTTGTTTTCTCAGAGCAAGGCATCGACATGCAAAAAAAAGCATAACATGCCCCCCCCCCCCCGCACTTCGCTGACCACCCGTAGTATATGCCAAGACATCCCCTATTCTAGTTTTCACGTAATAATTCACAAATATGGTTTCAAATAATTTCAAACAGAAACTTAATTTGCCAAAAAAACTTAATTTGACTCATATTTGTCTAAATATTAATACGGCCCGTTTTGTTTGTTGTTTTATAGCCCGAAAAAGAGCGAGATTTACCTAGAGAATATTTGTATTGACTACGTGACAAAGACCTAACACCTACCACAGTCTCAGTGACCTAGCGTGGTATTTTAAAGACCCCTCTCCTCCCGTGAACGGCTCACGTAGTATGGGTTATGTTCCCTAAAGTACCAATCTAGGGACTCCCCCGAGTGACGCGAGAGTAAGTTAATTATTAATAATATTGGATTAACTTGCAGTGGTTCCGATTCGTATCATCAGTGGTAGCGCTGCCGGCGGCGGCGGTGTTCATGGCGCTGGCGCCGGCGGCGCTGGGCGCGGGGCCGCCGCGCCGCGCCGCCGCCGCCGCGCTCGCCGCCCTTGAGCGACCCGTCTTCATAGTCCTCATAGCTGTCGCTTTGTTCGGCGCTATCAATGGCGTGGATTGTATGTCTCATTTTGTAATATTTTCTATTACTTTTTGAGTAGTTACTACATTTCTTTCTCTATTCTACTGAAAGATACGCATGCGCACTTCTACTTGCTGTTGTTCATTCTTTTGTGAAAATACAGAGATCTCAGATAATGCAACGCCGCATTCTGCTCAACCAGTTCATTATAAACTTGAGATTTCTATACATTTTTAATAATACTTTATATATTAATTAATATGATACCGGTCTGTTAAAGTATTGTTATACAAGAAATAATAAGTGCATTCACACTATCAGTAAAACTCACGTCCCGGTCGAATCACGTTCCAGCAACATTTCTTGTATAGAAATACTTTACCAGACCGATATCGGCCTGTGATCGGCACTATAGTGTGGGGCGGCCCTTATACTTCTTTTGGCACGTTTGGACAAAATATGAGCCAACCGTGATCGGCACTATAGATGTGGATCAGTTTGACCGATGTAAACTGTGAACGTGACCGATGATATGTGTGACGTGTCTCAGCGCTATGGCGGCGCGCGCTGGCGGGCGGGCGCGTGGCGGCGCGCCTCACGTACGGCGCCTACCTCGTGCACAACTGCTTCATCACGGCCGTCTGCGCCACGCGCTTCACCCCCTCGCACTTGGACTACAAGACCGTGGTACAATTTCATCCTATGCAATAATCAGACTATTACATGTGTTTGTCTCTCTAACCGACTTCAAAAAAAAAGGAAGCTATTAGTTTAATCAATTCGACATGTGGGACCGACATCGAAAATATCTGATTAGGTATCTATTCTAAATGAAAACCCCCGTTTAGTTATTTTTACAGTTTAGTGCTTGGAAATCGGTTTTTATGTTTTTTTTAGTTTTTATTTATTTCTTCAGACGAGTAACAGCTAGACGGATTTGTATTACAATATGGTATTTCCATTTGGAACAATTTCTTACATACAAATAAAATAAACTAGATGTCCAACAGGAGAGGAATAAAATCGCCTATCTTCTTACCACACAAGTATTGGAACAATGTCACCTCTTGTCTGCTTTTATGCAAAAAATAGTATAAAGATATGACCTAAATTAAATCCTTATTTAAATTTCTTTATGGTACAAGATATCATGTGTACTAATGTATCGATTTCTTTGTATTACAGTTTACGGAAACATTGGGTGTATTGGCACTATCATATGCAGCGGCCTTGCCGCTGGCATTACTTGTGGAGCTCCCTGTACAGAGACTATACAATGAAATTAAGAATCTTAAGAAAGTCTAACAAAAAATTGAAAATACATATAAATAACATAAGATAAAATGCTTTATTAATGTACAAACTATTTGTATATTAAGTAAGTATATATGTTAGGTAAATAAATGTTTATCCTCACTTGTTATAGATGGCTATAACATGTTCACAAATGGGTATATAACATGTAAATTCAATTAAATTTAAATTAATGCCATTAATTGTATTTATTATAAATAATATTGTATAAAATGTATGGATTAAGGAAAGTATTAATTAAAATTTATGATTGCTGGTTTTGAATAGTTTTATTTATTACCTTCAAGAGATCTGTCACAAGTCACACCACTCCACCACAAAATCCTTACACTATACATTCACACACAAGTGCATATTTTCAGACCTTTGGCAGTATATACTGGAAATCTAGTCTTTCAAATGTTTGCATCAAGATAATTAAGTATAAAAATTAGGTATATTATTTAGAAAAGGTTTAACTCACCTTTCAAAACTAACTACAGTTTTTTTACATTGTTTATATTCACTGCTGACACAAACAAAGATATAACACAGATTAGACAGATAAAGGTATTAAAATAATGAACTTAATATTAAGTCTATTCCTATCGTCTAGAAGGACCGGATCCTCCCTGCCAACCTCCACGGTGCCCTCCCCCTCTGCCACCTGCTCGACCTCGACCAGCAGCTGAAATTATTATATTTTTTTAATTTATTCACACAAACAGATATTTACAAATGTATGTTTCATTAGTTATTTAGAGATATTACTTATGTTGTTTAATAATGATTACTTATTCAAGTATATCCAGAACAATTGAATATATAAGAAAAACATAACCTAATAAAAAAAAACAATATTGTTTGTAAACAAATGTAAATTCTAGCCAAGTTAGATCACGATTTCTAGACCTAATTTAGATATTATTTACCTTGAGCCCGTAATATAGCACTTTTCCCACGCCCAGCCGTGGGTTTATTCCCTTGTCGTTTAAACATAGGAGCATTTTTTAACATATCCGGTAATATTAGAAAACGTATCTTGGATCCTCTGATATATACATTTTCCAGCTGAGCAACTCTTCCATCTCTATACGTGACCGTCACCTGCGTCATCTGACAATTCATATTATCCTCGGCTTCTATCAATTTCCCGCGATAAACTTCACCGGTATTTGTTTCACAGGTCACTACATGGCCTTCGGCTTCGTGTAATACTTTAATAGGCACACCGATAGACATCTTGGATCATGTAATTACAGAAATCAACTTAAATTAAATAATAATATCTGGCTTTTCCCAGATGCAAAAAGATAAAAAAATATTTCTGTTGATGCTAAAATCTCAAAGCCTCAACTTAACAATTTAACAATGGCGGCAGTCAGTGTGACCAGTAAAAAAACCTTATATACCAAATTATACAGATTAAAAAGTTTTTTTTCCTTCTTTATGAAACAAAAAGAGTAATAAAATGAAATTTTAAGAAGTAATGTAAACTAAGAAATAATGGGCCTGCTGGAAGTTAAAAAATAATGTTGTTTGCCGGAAAGCTAGGAAATAGGTACCAATAACTAAACGTGGATATACTGGGTACTGGGTAGTGAAATTTGTAGTAAAAAAGTGTCTCGAGTCTTGACTCAAAAGTCTCGGGACCCGAGACAGCTAAATTTACAAAAAGTCCCAGGACTTCGAGACACAAGATATCCTGGGACCCAAACTCTAGTAAATATAATAGTAATATAATATCCTCCTGATCGGTTCCGATCACGGCTATCAATCTTATTAAAACTAGAGATTTGTGCAAGAGATATTACAGCACTTATGTGTGTGTTAAATTCCGATGGAACAAGAATTGGACCGGTTAGAGACCAAGCGCAGAACATGCCGCGGATTCTGATAAGAGGAAAACCCAAAAACTGCTTGAATTAAATCGGGACTCGAACCTTATCGTATTTGCTAGACAGAATAGTGAATACTTTTAAACAGATTATTAATCGGTACTAGTCTAGACAGATCGATAGTAGAAATCGGTACTAGTAAAATTGACAGTTGCTAATTACACAGATATTTAGTATAATATATAATAATTATATTTAGACTAGTTGTTTACAAATTTTTATATTTTAATAGCCATAATTTATTTAAAAAATCTCTACAGTATACACTTTAGTCGTCAATTTGTCGTTTTTTTTCTATAATGGCCTTAAAGTTGCGTTAACAGACGCAATCCATTCTGCCAGTGTCATCAATTGGTCGTTTTATTATCGCTAATCACTGACACTTGAGCCTTGACAGTTGACACTGAACATTTCACGAGTAGCAAGTGAAAAATCACATGAAATGCGTTATCATACGTCACACCTGCTACTTAAATTCACAGTGACTGCTACAAATCATCATAAACTTTATAGTCGATTTTTGCCTCTTCGGCTTGTGCAAATCGGCAGATTATTGAATTGGACACTTTTCAGGATGTGACTAGCCTACCACACCTTAATCTGACGGTTTCAAGTATTTCTACCTTATCAAAACATTTTTTAAATATTTTAATCGGCTTCCCTAGACGCGCCCCTTTATATAGAAGACTTATATTATGGTGAAAGTACTCAATAGAGTGCAAGGTAACCTCTTTTATGTTAATCTGCCGCGCTCGAGTAACTACAGAAAATCCCCTCTTGGGCTCCCCTACTAATACTTCATTTTAATAGCAAATAATATAAAGTGTGACAACAGACCGTCGAAATAAAAAATCATTGCCTGTGAAAAGTAGCAGGTTAAATCACGTGAAAAATATACGTAATTTTATCATAAGATAATGATTTAAAAGTAGCAATCATTTCCATGCTTAGTTGACAGTGACATACAGACTAGACATGGGTAACTCAATGAATTTTTATGAGCTGCAGGTCAGCTCATGAGTCATATGCTTGAACCGGAGCTGTGAACCGGCTCACAGTTCAGCTCAATTGATGTTATATGGGTACTTATAACTATAGATTTACAGCTAATTTATGACTCTGTTCAAACAAATGACATGTATGATGTACCTAAATTATATTTGTATGTAATAAAGCAGCATTTCGAAAAAAGTTATTATAGTCATATTTTTTCGTTCTTACACGATTATATGGTAATGCTAATTTCATGCAATTATATCTTTACGTCGCGATGAAATGTCATACCGTCAGTCGCAAAGAGTATAATAATATAGATTATAGACTATAGTACAGGTCCGTCGGCTCGGGTCCATCAAAATAGCTGACGTTAGGTGGCGCTAAAGTGATGCACGGAGCCATATTAAGTAATATTGAGCTGTGAACCGATTATCTAGCAACTGAGCCGCAGCTCAACGGCTCTAGCTACTGTGAACTGAATATTTGAACCGGCTCTGAGCTGAGTTACACATAGTGAATACAGACACAGTAAGCCTAGCAGAATTAAACGTCAATTGTGCATTGCGCTAGCTAGTATTATAATTGTAGTATAATTTTTAAATAATACATTAATAAATTTATAAAATGACTAGTACAGTGATGAAAGTAGAAATTGAGACCGAGGCATGCTCTGTTTGTGGCGGCGGTGGTGATTTATTCACTCCGGAGGAACACGACGCGGGCGCACCGCCAATGCAAGTGCCGCTGAGGGCTATGCTCTTGCACATAAACAATAATAAGGTACACTTTTAACTAATTCTAATAATATTATTATCACATACGTTGCTCATTTAGATTTTATTTACAAATATTGTGTTTTAGGTGGTCCCTGAGGGTAAATTATGTGTAAGTTGTATACGTCGCGCCATTGAAGCTTATGAGTTTAGTACTGCTTTAAGTACTAGATCGGTGCCTCCTTTAAGTGAAAAAATCCGTGCATTACGAAGAAGGCTTCATGAACTAACACAGAAAATTGATGTTTTCATAGTAGTAGGGGGACCAGGTGTAAATTCTGGTGGAGCATATAGTGAAGATGACATAATTATGGTAGAAAGAGACGCCTTAGCGGCAGCTGCTGCTGCCGATGACGAAGACTTGGAGAAAGCTAGGAATGCATGTGGGGAGACAGTATATCAGTGTTCTATATGCCCAATGTCATTTCAGGTATACATCTTTTATTAATTACAGTACCTGGGTGACCAAGCTTAGCTCAGAGTTTTTTTTTGTTCTAACGTATTTTTTTAGATTAAAAAAAAAAACTTAAATAAATACAAAAAAAAAACAAAAGTAAAAACTTTGTATCCGACCGGGATGAGAACCCAGACAAACCCCGAAAACCCACACATACCAAATTTCAGAGAAATCGTGAAAGAGCCGTTTCCGAGATCGCCGGTATAAATAAATATACAAGAATTGTTTGTTTAAATATATTAGATATTCCATCTAAATAGATAGTTCAAAATCAGGTATCTCAATGCATTCAAGCATCAATAATCATTTATTAAAAAACAATTTTATGGATGATGATTAAATGTTATTTTTATTTCTCATTAACTAGTGACTTGCACTCGCTCTGCTTGAATGCGTCTCTAGGTATCTTTTAATTTTTTGAGAAGAACCCTAATTATTTTTATAAAATAATAATAATACTTAGTTACTCCTTATAACAACATCTATCTGTCAATGTATAAGTTCACTACTAAAATATATTAACTAGGTATAATGTAAACATTGGTCAGAGAATTAAAGGCTATTTTTATTTTATTATCTGTCAATGAAAGCCCCATGAAAATCAGTCCAGCTGTTCTGGAGATTAACCGGATCAAATAGACCAGCATTTGAGAAATTGTGTTTTTCTTATATGTGCCGTATATAATTTCATATGCATTTAGTAAAAAGCTGTAATGTTGACATTAAAAACTGACACTATAATTTTATTTATCGGTATAGATAACTTAAGTGTTGCTGAAATTCATGTTTATGAAATGAAATAAACTTTATTCAATTAGACTTATATTAATTATTTATAGTTGTATAGTTAATATAAAATATATAAACTTATTTCAGCATGCAAGTGAATACCGGGCCCATATTGCGATCCATCCCGGCGGGGCTCGGCACTCGTGCTGGACATGTGGAGCACAGTTTAATAGCAAGGATGCTTTACGAGACCACACAACATTGCACGCCGCTGCACAAACACTGACATGTAACTTGTGTTCTATTACATTTCAGGTATGTTGTTAATTAAAATTTACAGTTTCTCTTTGTCTCTGTCTCAGTAATATATTTAGTACATTTCACATTAGTTTTCTAGAGATTAACTATTAAGGTTGTAATGAAACATCCCTCAGCGGCCTAACAAAGGTCTTCTTTTTGATTTATTTTCCTTTGCCATTTCATCTTTTATAATTTAACCACTGGGTGGTGATATTTCTAAGGTGTATTTTGTGGTTTGTTGTTTAGATTTTTCAAAACAAAATAGTAATATCAATTATATTAATATTTTTTATATTTTCAACTAATGTAGCTTCACGTGTATTAGTTAATGTATTGACTGTGATGAAAGTAGTAGTAACCCAATGGTAACATTGCAACCCGTTTTGCTCGGTTGGGCAACCAAACTTTTGATATTTTTAAGTGTGAATTGTTTACAACAAGACCTGTCTTATGGTGAAAGAAAACATTGTGAGGAAATTTACACGTCTGAGGAAACTTAGCTAGTTTTCGAAAAACACGTGTCCGACCTGATCCCTCGCAGTGAAGGGAGGTCCGTGCCCAGCGGTGTGTGTGAGTGTGTGTGTGTGTGTGTGGCAGAGCGGCGCGGAGATGCGGCGGCACGAGGGCGCGTGCGCGGCGCGCTGCCCGGCGTGCGGGCTGCGCGCGGGCGGGCGCGCGGCGCTGGCGGCGCACGCGCGGCGCGAGCATGCGCGCGCGCTGTGCGCCACCTGCTTCCTGCCGCTGCGCGACGCGGGCGAGCGCGCGGCGCACGCGCTGGCGCACCGCCAGGCCGACCGCTTCGTCTGCGGGTACGACGCCTGCATACTCAGGTTCGCCAACAGGTACGTCGGGTTTTCATGTTTTTTTTTTTTAATATTTAAATGTTTAATATGAGGTAACCCTGAATAGAATTATTAATTCAATTTATCGTTAATTCAATTTTTTTAATATATTATTTGTACCGGTGTTAACTAATACACTATTAGATTGTTAAAATGAATGATGTTTGGATTTTTTTTTGTTCTTCTTTCACGTCAAAACGGAGAGACGGATTGGCGTGATTTTTTGTGTGGAGATAAATGGATGGCTGGAGACATAGGCTACTTTTTATCGCGGGAGATAATCTACCTCCCACGGGAAAACACGTTTTAAGATCTTCTTCTTCCTGCCCATTTCCCAAGTCACTTGGGGTCGGCGCAGTAAGTCTTCCTCTTCCATTCTCCCTATTACTCGTCATCTCATCATTCACCCCTTTCTCTTTCATGTCTTGTCTCACACAATATATCTTGCTTTTCTTCGGCCTTCCTCTACCTTTCCATCCATCTACATTCATTTCCATCACTCTTCTCGTCACATGCGTTTCATCCCTCCGCTTCACATGCCCATACCAACTAAGACGATTCCCTTTCAACTTCTCTGTCACTGGTGCTACTTTTAAGCTTCCTCTTATGTACTCATTCCTTATTTTATCCATCCTCGTCACTCCACACACCCACCTTAACATTCTCATCTCAGCAGCATGCAATCTTCTTTCATCAGTCTTCTTTGTAGCCCAGCATTGCGATCCATACATAACGACAGGTCTTATTACGGATTTATAGACCTTACCCTTCAACTTAAGGGGCATCCGCTTATCGCAAGTTATCGCTGTGACCTGTCGCCATTTCATCCACCCAGAGTTGATCCGACGCGTAATGTCTCGGTCAATATTACCATCACCTTGTACAAGAGATCCAAGATACCTAAAGTTAGTGCATATTGGTAAGGGTGTTCCCGAAAGGGTTATGGGCACTAGACTGGAGAGACCACCAAAGTCGCAGAAAAGGTATTCTGTTTTACTTCTGCTGACTCTCAAGCAAACACTCTCCATCCAGTCTTTGTCGCCATTTTTCCAATCTGTACTGAACATCTAGACTATTCTCGGACGCTAGCACAATGTCGTCGGCGAACAGCATGCACCAGGGGGCTTCTTCTTGTATGTCTGATGTTAAGGCGTCCAATACCATCAAGAAGAGGTACGGGCTAAGGGCAGACCCCTGGTGTAAACCTACAGCCAACATTGAAGCTAGTAGTGGTGCCAGCTGTGGACCGGACTTGTGTATTACATCGATTGTACATCGCTCGGATCAACTTCACGTACTTTTCAGGCACACATTTCTCTCTAAGGGCCCACAAAACCTCACGGGGTACCCGGTCATATGCCTTCTCCAGATCAATAAAGACCATGTGCAACTTCTTGTGTGCACTTCTGTACTTTTCGCATAGCTGGCAGATTGCAAAAATGGCATCAGTTGTTCCCCGACTGGGCATAAATCCGAACTGGTTTTGTGAAATTTCACTCTCTTCTCTTAGTCTTCGCTCAATCACTTTTTCCCAAGCTTTCATACTATGTGAAATTAGCTTTATTCCTCTATAGTTGTTGCACTCCAGCACATCACCTTTATTTTTAAAAATGGGCACCAATGAACTATTGCACCATTCGTCCGGTATGACTTCATCTTGCAACAACTTATTGAAGAATAAGGCTAGCCACATCCTCTCGCAATAACTTCCATGCTTCTATTGGTATTTCATCCGGCCCCACCTTCTTTTCGTTCTTCAGAAAAACGTTTTAAGATAATACAAAAAAATATTTATGATTAGAATTACTTGAAACTTGGTATTAATGCTCTTCAATAAAATTAAATAAATACGTGTTGTAGCATTTTTCGAAATTCATTCTATAAGGGGGTTAAATAGGGCATGAAAGTTTGTATGTAACTACCTTTTTAGATATTTTGTGTAGTTTTAGCGCGAGCGAAGCCGCGGATTCTGCTAGTTTAATTAATAAAGTGAGGTTTTTATGTTGTTTACAGTAACTAAGACGATAATTATGATCTACTTTCAGGAGCGACCTGCTGGCGCACATCCGCAAGTGCCACGCGGGCGCGGCGGCGGGCGCGGGCATGGGGGAGGCGGAGCAGGGTGCGGGGGAGGCGCCGCCGACCACCGCGTGCGATCAGTGCGGCCGCACGTCAGTACTCGCCTACGTTTTTTACCATCATATAGTATAATAAGACACATAGAGCAGTGGTAACGGACTGGTCGGGACTTTGGAAACATTTAAAGATTTTTTTAAAGATAAATTTATTTTTCTTATATTTATTTATATTTATTTTATTTTAAGTTGTATGATAGCAGAGGAAGATGTAATTTGTTAATGACAAATTGTTTTATTCTTGGTTGTCACAAATGCCTTAAGGTTATATTGTAAACAACTTACTCGGCATGAAATGTGTTTAGCTGGTTCACTTGGAAAGTGTAATGAGACATAACAACAAACAATGCATAAATATGTTAAATACATATAGGCATACTATATGCATAATATATAAAAGACCAATAATTCTTCAGCAGAAATTTCTTAATTCAATTTAACAATTTGACAGGTCACGTCACATTTATCATTAAAAATATTTTATATATTTAGTATATATTTTCTAATAAGTGTGCCAGCTGAGCACCGACTACTTGGGCAAAGTAAGGGAAGACGATTAAAGACGACGACGACGAATAAAACGATTGAAACAATAAATAGAATTATTAAATACATAACTGCATGATATAATGTGAACGAACAAAATTGTTAGTAATACGTTTCGCAGGTTCGGTTCCGTCGCCGCCATGAAGCGACACGCTAGAGTGCATCGGAAGGAGCTGCCGCAGGTATGTTGCTGTCCATTGTATGTAAATGTTAAATTCAATTCTTTTGTTGATGGCCACAAAGTATGCTTGTTGAGCACAGATCACTCTGCCAATGTTTTGTAGAATGGAGAAGACACAATGGAGATTAGTCCGTAGTGTGTAAATGATATTACTCATAACAGAGACTGTAATATGAAGTACATAATATAAGCAGTATTGAAATATGTAATTAGTTTTATTTGAAAGTCTAGTGGTACTTGAAAAAAAAACATTTTGGGTTTCGTTTGTTTGTTTGTCTGAAGGAGCTAATCTCAGGAATTAATAATCCAATTTGAAAAAGTGTTTATGCATTAGATAGTCCATTTATTGAGGGAGGCTAGTTAGAGTTAGTTATATTATGATACTTAAATTAGAATTTTACAACGCTCACGAGGAAAGAGTGAACTAATATTTAAATATTTATCAAACTGAGGAGAAAAATGGTAAAAACGATTTCAATAAAAGCCACACAATCCAAGTTCCAATAGTAAATGCTGCCTTCCATCCCCTTGTTGCCAGGAGGAGCCGGAGTGGGCGGCGGAGGGCGAGCTGGAGGCGCCGGGCGGCGACGTGGAGTACCTCGAGCTGGAGGCGCTGGACGACCTCGACCACCACTAGCTTCTACTATGTTGCTTTGATAGAGAACAAGTGTATACTTTGTAGATATATTTGTACGGGAGACTCTTAATTCTACATGTATGAGCCTTATAAGAGTAGGTACAGGATATAGAGTAATTGTACTACTTATTGATCCTGATAAGAGTCTTTAGAATTAATTTAGTTTTAGTTTGAAAGTGCTATTTTTAATCTGACTGCAAAAATAATAAACAATATCATTTATTACAGTGAAAGCTCCTTGTTAGCGGTTCCGTTATTCGCGACTGAAAATTTGGTTATTCGCTGATACGTAACTTACGATTATGTATAAGTAAAATTTAAAAAGAGATAATAATATTCATTGTTAAATATTGAACGTTTTCAATAAAATCACACCATTGCATAAAAGACCCGACGGATTAAGTAAACACAAAACACGTGTCTCGTCAAAATGAAGGAATTTGTTAAAACTTGATGAATATGCAATGAAAATCCTTTTATTTTGAGTAAAAATCGTAAACGTGATTTAATTTTTCTTAAATCTTTTGTTTTGTTTGAAAACGGATGTGCTTCCAAACTTTTGGTGTTATTTGGTTATTGTGAAAAAAATACTAAATACATATTTCAAACCAAATAATTATTAATGTTAATATTTTTGATAGCACTATAATGAACTGTTATTTGTTATTAAACTGGTTTTTTATTTGTCACATATATTATTAAATATATACATTACCTTGGAACCACACCATCCCATATTCGCGGTATAATTTAGGAACATATCCCCCGCGAATAAGGAGCTTTTACTGTATATCATTAGATGTGTTTGTCAATTATTGTGGATTGGTTTTATGATTACGTTATTTCTAGAGTATTATATAAATTCCAAAAGATTTTTTTTTATTTCTAATGGTGGAATAAATAATTATTATTTAAAAAAAATAATGAATTTAGTTATTTTAATTTGTTTAATGAATGCAATATACTGAGAAATATTTTGCTACATAGGTATATTACTTAGCAAAATATTTCTCCAATATTTCTTTTATATTTCCACTGTTCCAACTATGTAGTAATAGTAATGTCATAGTTAATACTCTAATATGCACTCATTTTTTACTATATTTTTTTATATTCTATAGTAAAAATACCAATATTTTGTGACAAATACAAAAACAATATGAGTTATTTTGTGTAAATTAATTAGTTAGCACTTCTTAAATTTTATCCTAAATATTGTAGATTTACAGAAATATTCACTTTTTGATTGAATTCCCACAAAGTTATATAATTTGAAGAAATTAAAATACCTGTCTGTGATTACAACAATGAAACAGCAGAAATTAAATAACTTCAAAGATGTTAAAGTAAGTTATAATTTATTTCTGGTATTCTAAAAATCTATTGTCTTCATTCCCACACAATATGTTATATTTTGTCAATGAAGTGAGAACTTATATTGATTTTAGCTAATCTTGAAATATATTTAGATGAAAACTATATGGGGAAGGCCAATTAAAACGTCACAGAGGAATCTTTTTCTCGGAAATATTTTTAAATAGCGATGGTTATTTATAAATAAAACTAGCGGACCCGACAGACGTTGTCCTGTCTACACGTCTTTAATTTGAAAATTTCAAACTTTTTTTAAAAAATTTTTTGATGAAAATTATTATTCAAATGGTGAATCTAAACCATTCCCAGATCCCCTTGAACACACACAAAAAATTTCATCAAAATCGGTCCAGTCGTTTGAGAGAAGTTCAGTGACATACACACTCACAGAAGAATTATATATATAAAGATATGAACAGTAATAACATTTATTATGATAATTCATTTTATTACAATTTGTACTAAATAGTTTTCGTTAATAACTACTTTTACGTTTTTATTTAAATATTATAAAGTAAGGTTTAATTTAATACATTATGGTCCTGACTGGTGGTGATTAAGGTTTAAAAAGATAAAACTGACAACTAGCAATATGTTTCATTCAAGAACTCGTAAGTGTTGTCAGCTTATAATTTTGATTATTAAAAGATGTAACATGTGCATGTAAGCAGTGTAGAAGTCCAAATGTAGAAATTAGTTCCGTTTAATTCCATTACCAGTCGTTTTCTTAGACTAAATTTATAATTTAAAATTCATAAACTTAAGTAATCACTTCAGTTGAAAGGAAACATAAATAAATTTAATAAAATGTGCCAAAAAATACTTAAAAAGTATATTATGTTAGTAACACTGGTACTCTATTGAATATTTGCAACAAAATAAACCATATAAATAGCTCTAAGTACGAGTTTCAAGTGAACGTGGCTAGGATGGACGGAACGCGTGCGAATTTTAGGTATCTCCTTCGTATTATTAAAAAAAAATACACATTTTATTCAAATGTAAATTGTATACGATATAGAAAACGTATAGTTTTGTTATTATTAAAAAACTGATAACTTCCTTGAATTATTTACACCGCACTAAGGGTTTATGTAATTTTTAGACATCACTTTGAATTTTTCTTCTATCGAGGAAACTAGTAGTAATCATGTTTCTAAAGTGTCCGATTTACAGAATAAATCCTGGCTACTCACACACCTGCCGCAGGGGCAATATATATATATATTATTAATTGCCACCTAAATTGTGATGTGTATAGTCAATCAGGGGCAATTTCCTAGATTCTTGCACGTTGCCGCGTGTGTACCACGATCGGAGCAATTTCTCTACCGATTTTTTGACAGTGTAGCCAATTAGGGGTCTTTCCCTCAAATTCAGGGGCAGAAAAATTGCACCAGGGTTTTTTCTTTAATAGCATGACTTAAATATAAATAACGTTTTATTGAGTTTCTTTTAAAGACTTGAAAAAAATCATGTATCTTCAAATATCATTTGCATCATTTTCCTTTTTATTATTATTATTTTCTAAGTTATCTATGAAATGTATTATTATTGGTTATATATAATTATTATAATAATAACCATAAGTAAGTTTTTTATGTTACTTGTAATCACTTTAAAAAATATATATTAAAAGTGAAAAAATAGTATAGATAAAAATCTACATTTTTTAAATGATCAGCTAGGGGGTTTTAGGAATTTTTGGAATATACTCTTAGGGGGATAAAATTTCAAGTGCTGGTAACATTGTGTTTTGATTTTTCGACAATACTGGGGCCATTCTTAACGCGTGCGTTTAGCTCAACTTCGCGAACACTTGAATAAAAGAAATGTGTTTGTGTGTAAAGACAGCTCCGATATTGCCACGCCTCCCCAGATTGCGCTGCGGCAGTTGTGTGTGGGTGTGTGAGGTCACAGGCGGTGGTCGGCGCGCGGGCGCTCGCGGCAGATGACGGCCACGCGCCGCCGCCGCGCCACGCCTCGCCCGCGCCACGCGCTGTGCTCGCCGCCCAGCACCGCGTGCGAGAACTCGTAGCGCGCCACGCCGCTGGGGGTATCAAAATGTTGCCATAAGAAATAATTGATATTCACTATTTAGTTACTTGAGCACAGATGTCTTCGCAAAATTATCTGCTACGAGTGACATTTCGCTAGTAATTTATTTTCCAAGAGACTTTCTTGGAATCTCATGGGTTAAAGCAAATTACGATATCTCCTTTGAATAAATAGCAACATTTTATAGTCTGTGCCTACACTTGAATTAATTACCTACTCAAGTGAAATGTGCGTTAAAACTAGTTCAATTCACTTTCTCTCCCAATGCAAAGTCGTGCAACAGTACTAGACTATGCTACTATCCAATTCCAGCTATATTATATATAGATAATTTTTTGCCAGAAAACCCTAATTACTATATTATGCAGCCTAACCCAGGAGCGAACCCTTCGATCCAGGACGAGCACCGACCTCATGATGTAGAGACAGCGCCTCTGCAGCAGCGCGTCGAGCGCGAGGTGCGCGCGCGCCGCGTGCGTCAGCCGCATCACCGCGCTCGACGCCAGGCACAGCCCCGCGATCGTATCGCCACAGAACTACACATTAAAGAAATTAAATGTTTTATTTAAATAAGCATATATTTTGCCGTGGTAGCCCAGTGATGCGAGTTCAAATCCCGGGTCTCGCACCTCTGATATTTTCATGTCCGAATCATTTTTAACACGATTACTACTTACCTTACGGTGAAGGAAAAACATCGTGAAGAAATCTGCATGTCTGAGAGAAGCTAGCAAGTTTTCGAAAGACATGTGAAATCCGCTAACACTTGACCAGCGTAGTGAACTACGGCCTGATCCCCCTCGAATTGAAAGGAGGCCCAGCAGTGGGACGTTAAAAAGGCTGAATACAAAATATTTCTTAGAGTATACTTCGTCCGTCAACGCCGGGACATGCCCGAACATGGTTTTGCACGTTAAAAATAAATTGGACTGAATAAAGAATTGGACGCCGGCTACAAACTATATGATCGTTTATGGTCAATATGGAGAACAAACCTGCGACATGCCCAATGAACGAAACGAACTACTATGCTTGCCCTGCTCATTATGAATGTGTCAAAAAAGCATACAACTTGCCTAATTGTGTTAATAAAAAATATACTAGCTTAAAAATAATTATTCCATTTAAGGATTAATACTTAGCTGGTGCAAAAATACTGAGCATTTCAAATACCACTAAAACTAACTATCTATATTTAATGTGCATTGACATTAAATATAGATCAAAAACGACTCTAACTTGCTACTGTATTTTTTATAAGAATTGACTATTTCTTGGAAAATTTAGCCTTGTGTTATAATAATTTCTAAACTTACTCTAACAGCATCAACATGAGGTTTAATGTGACCGGCCGCAGCCAGATCCAATATATGTACATGTGGTAGAAGCTCTGAGTTTTTTGCAAAAGCAACTTTCTTTATTCGAGACAACACTGCTGTATTTTGCTCATTCCATTTACTGCGCTCTGTTTCACGATAACCTTCAATTGCCTGAAAAAATCAAGATTTCCAAAACATAAAAATGTATTAAGTTTAAATACTTAGTACTTTTATTGTTAGCAATTATGGGTTATTATTTATGATTAAACACAATATTTCATTTGCAATGTAGACAGAAAAAACAAATACTAACTAGTTGAAAACACTCTTCACTCAAAAATTGCCATATGTTTAGAGAGCTATGAAATATTATATTAAAAAGACGAAAAACCTTACATTGTCCCAATGATCAAATTCATATCTCATTCTCTTCAACTGTGGTTCCACTTCAGCTAACAAAGCTGCTTCCTCCTCTTCACTCACAAAGTCTGGCAGAACCCTCATGTGTTGTAACACTGCAGCGCGCATTTCGGGCTCTTCATCTGCTTTCCAGGATGGTAATATTTCTATATAACTAGGATCTCCTGAAAATATTTACAAAGCAAAAGTTATAAATTGTAAATTACAGAATGAATTCAAACTCAAAGATATTTTTACTTTATTTAACTTGCTTTATTCACATATTTCACTTTCTGATTAAAGACAGTTCAATACAAAAAACATATATAGTTTAGTATTTTCTAGAATCTAATAGACTACAGTTTAATATGGTTATCATGAGTTACCCATTACAAATAAAAGCTTTTTCTAAAATATGTTTACATGTAAAAAAAAGACAAACCATCAGTATATTTTTCAAAGTATGCAAAATATACTGTTCTTACCTAAAGGCTTTTCAGCTTCAACTTTCGCTCGGGATATATCAACACTTAAATTTTTAAATAATTGATACAGTGGTGTCTTAAATTTTAAGTTTCGTAAAACACTAAATGTTAGCACCCGCATTATTTCTTTTTTGTAGGTTTTTTTATAAATAGCGTCTATATTTTAAATACGTTACGCTTTACGACGATAAGATATATTTAATAATTTATTACGTATTTTTAATTACGCAAATCTAACCTCAAAAGTCAAAACAAAATATTTTCTTTATTTGACAATCAGCTGATCAAAGACCAAAGTTGACACTTCTATTCGAATGTCGAGTATTTATTGCTGTTGTCAAAATAATATGTTTCTCGATTTCAATAATATTATTTATTTCTATAATTTCTATTTAATTTTAATTTCTATATTATTTAGTATATCAATATCAATAATGATTAATGACGTTTGAATTTTGATATCTCTTTACTTTATCATAGACCATGGATGACAAATAAAATCATAAACTATAGAACTGCTAGCTCTGACAATAATAAACAAGCTCGTATGGAACTAATTCATCTATTTTATTTGTCATCCATGATAATAAACATTAAACAATTCTTATAATTTAAAGTACGTAAATAGAATTAGAATCACTAAGGAGAAATATTGAATTGAATATATTCATTCAAATTTCAAATACAAGTTTTAGGATACAATTCTATGAAATGGTGCAGTACTTATTCGTATTTAAGCAAATATATTTTTTTGCTTAAATATATTTAAGCAAAAAATAAGGGACACCAATTATTAAAAATTACTATTATAAAAGAAAGCAATGAGATCAAAGAGCAGTGCTGCAATCTACTAAACTAAATTTTAATGACGGAACTAGATCATTTCCTTTCCTCAATTAAAGAGTAAATTGATTTACTATTTTTATATATTTTTTATTTAAAATATGTAAGTGTACTCAGTCTTACTCTTTCTAATTAAAAAATATAGGACGATGGAAAATATACCTGATGAAATACTTGAGTATATATTTCATTATATTAGCACATATGAGCTGTGTACCGTCGTCTCGGAGGTTTGTAAGCAATGGCAGCTTATTATAATGCATCAAGTGATGAGCGTGAAGGATGCTGACCAGTTGAGGATGTTCCATGTGGGTCTAAGGGCAGTGATAGTGACAGAGCGAGTGTGGAATCTTTGTGCAGCATCTAGAGTGATTACTTGTGCAACACAGATGATTCCAAGATTACAAGAACTTACTATTTGTAGCAATTTTCCTTTAGGTGTGTGGACTTGCATATCCTACAGTAAAAATTATTTTGCTATAAATTTGGTAAAAAAATATTATTGAAAAAGATTTATACTTTATAACTGGATTTTTTCTTCACATTTGACATTACCAGCACTATCTGGTTAAATCCAGTATTATTTAAGCAGTAGAGACCAAAGAGCAGAGATATTTGAGTTGTTTAATAAATTTTTCAGATGAAGAAGATTACAAAAGTTTAATGTATATCCCACATTTAAAACACTTGGATGTCTTCTCGAAAAGAAAATGTATGGATAAAAATATAAATATAAATGCAAGTATTACTATTCTGGTTGTGAATGAAGCAATGGCAAGTGGATTCTTGAAAAACTTAAACAAATCAAACAAACTGATGGCATTCCACATGTATGGCCGAGCTCGGTATTACATAGTTAGGCAAATGGTGGATTTCCTTCAAATTCAATCTGGAAACTTGCAGGATCTTACATTGAGATGTCAAGAGTTTGGTGATGAGAAGTGAGTACCTACCTAATAACTTTTTTTCTGTTACATCTTTAACTTTCTTTCTGTTACTGTTTGATTTAGACTGTACCTGCACTTAATTTAAATTTAATTAATGGTTTAGATTTGTATGGATGAGAGTATATTATGATTCCTCAATACATTTTCCATTATTCCAGATTATTATTTCTTGTGAATGATGTTCTATTTATCCACACTGCACCTACAGACTCTATAAAAGTTAATACAGCCTTTTCACAGGTTCAAAACCATAAGCCAATGCGTCAGGTTAGTTTCCCTGCAACTGCACCAATGCTCGTTAGTGACCAAACGCAGCATTGCGTATGTCGCGAGTCTGCCCAAGCTACGGCGCCTGCACCTCACTGGGGCGAGATTGGTAAGCTTGTGTTATGTTAAATGTCCTTAATTATTAAATTAAATGAATTTGAAAAATTTACATTTCCAATAAATAAAAATTTCAATTTTTTAATGCACTAAAAGTTAAAACTTTAAATAATTATCACGTTACAGCTTCGTAGCTCGGGTATTCTCGAGCTGATCAACTGTTTGCATCCTCTGATCGAAGACTTGAATCTAAGTTATTCAGATTTCGGTGACGAGCACTGTACGGCCCTGGCGCTCCGGCTGCCGCGTCTCACCACGCTCGAGCTGTGGCGCTGTGGCGCGGGGCGGGGCGGCGCGGGGCTGGGGAGTGTAGGGCTGTGCGGCGCCGCGCTGCTGCGGCTAGTGCAGGAGGCGCGGCGCATGCGCGCGCTGGACACGGACGTGCACTTCGACGCGCTGCAGCTGCAGGCGCTGGGCGACCATTCCGCGTTGGGAAAGCTACGGTGCCGGTGGGACGGACCGAACCCTCTGGTATAATATATTTTTATTTTAACTGCTATAAATTATAATTGTGGGATTAAAGAAATATGCATGTGACTCTACGGAAAAAGAAAATGAACTCTCTCTCTTTTTGTTTGCAGGTGGGATCAAAACTGAAGATGACATCAGCACTGAAAGTTTACTCTAAAGAGTATCTCCGAGGGGACGGCGAGGGACCATCGGCCGAGCTGTACTATTATTGGACTCGTGGAGTAGATCTTATATCATTGTTCGAAGGTGACCAGACTCCCCGAACGACTGATTAAAGAAGCGTCCGGGAGCAGTGAACTTAAAGGATTTAACTGATTACAAAAGTAAAGCAACACGTCCAGGGCCACATTATGGATATGGATGGGTAACGCTTAGACGGCCGTGCGCAGAGAAATGAGTTGCAGAAGCAAAAAGAGATGCTTGTCATTTTCTATCTAACTCTATGACAAATTAGTTGTGAACGAGACGTCAAAAACCGCAGCCTATCGTGGTAATGTTTCCTGCAAACCTGTGAGAAAAAAATCAAAATAAAAATGCGAAAAATCCGAAATTGTTTTATTTTAAATAATAAAAAGAAGTTTGACTTTAGAAGTCATTGTTGCGTTATAACCGAAGAGAACAAACGCAAACACAGTTGTTGTGTTATAATATGTAAGGAATTCATAACTGCACTAAAAATAAAGATTTAGAACAACATCATTGCTCAAAAATAATATAACTAAAGCTAAGATTAATTATTATTTATTTATAATTAAACAAGCTTCATAATGTTGTGGAAATCCTTTTTTTTGTTTTGTTAATTGAATAATTGAGAATAAAGCTCAAACTGCCAAAAATACCCGTAGGTAACAGTTTTGAATATGGTTTTTTATATGTGTGTCTACTCGTACATGAAGGCATCTGGAGAGATTCAATAGAATTTATAATTATGATTATTGTGAGACTTGCCGGTTGAAATTTCAATAGTTGGCGTATGGTATGGTATGTTCGGGCTGGTTTCCGCAACTCGACGACTATGCGCCTATTTTGCGTGTGTGGGAATTTAAATTCTCGTTACTCCTGCCATCCCAGTTCCTCCAGGAATTTCAGCAACTTCTTTGTCTTGCCGAAGATTTCCGGGAGTGACCTAGGAGTGCCAAGATGTTGAGCCCGGTACTCCGCTACACCTGGACAATACAAGATCACATGTGCAGCCGTTTCATCTGCCCCCATGCATGCCCTGCAAAGTGGACTGTCAGTTATACCTATATTAAATAGATGTTTATTATATGGTCCGTGGCCGGTTAAGGCCGCGGTTATTTGCCTAAGTTGAGGTCTGTTAAGTTTGATGATACGGTTCGACATTTTGGCATCAATGTTTGGAAGCGATTCTTTCGCCTGTCTACAGTCTACAACTTCACGCCAAACATTGTTGTGTTGGCGTTTAATTCGTTGTCGAATTTGGCCTTTGAGCCAGCAAGAAGGTAACGAGACGATGGGCTCTGGTCCTATCGCCGTCATGTCCGAACCCCTTCTTGCTAGCTTATCTGCCTTATCGTTCCCCCACGAGTTACTATGGCCTTTGATCCATTGTAAGGTGATCTCATTCCGGTCACTTACCTGTGTCAAGGCCTTATGACATTCATAGATCATACCTGATGTGGTAGAATTACTATTTAATGCCTGTAGTGCTGACATGCTGTCTGATAGTATGCGGATGGAGCAGTCTTCCACCTTCTTCATCGCAATTGTTCTAGCTGCCTCAAGGATACCTAGACTTTCAGCTTGAAACACCGTGTTGTAGGTACCTAGAGGTATTGAAGTTTTAATGTTTAGATCATCGGAGAAAATGCCACAGCCAGTCCCGGATTTGGTTTTCGAGCCGTCGGTGTAGATTCTTAGGTCCTTGCTGTCGCGACCCTCACATGTATCTTCCTCCAGCTGTATTTTATATTTTTTGTCAAAAATATATTTTATTTGTATTCCATCATTGGGTGCTCCCATGAGAGGAATGTCTTTGGCAACGTCTATTAGGATTTTTGTGTGTGGAGTGCCTGTTTTCCTTAGGAGTTTTTGACTATCTAGTCTTACCGCGGTAGTCGCAGCCTCTTGTTGTATAAACAAGTGAAGCGGTAGAAGGTTTAGCATGGCTTCGAGTGCTGCGGTTGGTGTTGTTCTCATGAATAGTTGGCGTAACATATATTCATTTGTTATTGGTGATTAGGTAATATTAATAACAGGAAAAAATCTAAAATTATTTACCTATTGAATGAAAAAATTGCCAATTATTGGGTTCTTCAAACAAATATCTATAAATATGTAAAATCAAGTACCAACAACCAAGTTTGCACTGCCAATGCATAGATGGCGCTGACTTTAAAACTTATGCATACATACTTGATACATATACAGAAAATTGTTTTGTTTCACATTTTTTGTATTTTACAAATTTGAGATTTGCATACAAAATAGTTAACTGAACTTTCGCATAAACACCATGTATCGTTTATTCAGGCAATATTTTAAGATATGAATATCTAATGGGTAAATATGTATTTTACATATCGAAATATAGGTATTAGATTGGGTTTGCGTCGGCTGGCACCGACTTCGAAATTATCTGATTAGGTATCTATTCTAAATGAAAACCCCCGTTTAGTTATTTTTTACATTTTACTGCCTGGAAGTCGCTTTTTATTTTTTGTTAAAAAGTTTTTATTAAAGAACAATATCAGCACTATGATATAAAGTATTATGTAATCTGTGATGTAAACTAATAATCATAACACAGAACAAGAAGTAAGAACTGTCATTACATTGCATGCAAAATTTTATCTCGTCCCTAATTATACCATTTAGCGTCCAGCGCCGCGCCGGCTGCGTGCCGGATGAAGGAGGTTCTCACGAAGGTTGCAGGAACAATTAAACATTTCAAAATGACTTTCCTGTCTCTACATAATATTAGTATGAAAATACTTAGTACCTTATTATATGGCGTCGTTAATATATTTTTATTTTAGGTTAATTACAATTTAACTTGAATTTAATTCTTTAATTCTCTCTTTAATAGCTTCAAAACGTGCGAGTTGAGCACAGATTACTTCGCTAATTAGACTTTATATGGACATTAACATCTTTATAGAAAATATGAAGCAAATCAATAGGTAAGTGTGGGAACTTAGCAAGCAGGGTCTAGTTAAAGCCACTATGACTAGCGGAAGCTGAGGCCCTTGCCATAAGCAAAGCACCGCAGTGCAGCACTGCCTCAATCAATTATTTGGTCCCGGCTTACTACTTCTGTTAAAAATATTTTTTTACCTGATTTCAAAAAGGAGATATTCAATTCAGCTGTACCTATTTTTTGCAATATCATCGCACAAACCGATTTTTATAATTATTTGGGCCTATATTTAATACAAATAAAAGTACTTATAATACCCTATTTACTAGGTATGGCCCATATTTACCTACTAGATACAATATTTTCTAAAAAAATACTCTTTAGGGCAGCCATACTTAACATTTTCTTTATAGGAGCCACAAACGCGTTTCAGTCATGGTGTCAACTGTCGAGGGCCGCAAGCAAAAATTATTTAATTCTTTATGAAAACGTAATTCCCAAGTTAACGATGTAGTTACTTTTTTAACAAAGATATGTTATAATGCGATTTTTGATGCTACCGCATGCGGCCCGCGGGCCACAGGTTGAGTATAGCTGCTTTAGGGAGTTAAGACCGAATAATAACTATTTAGTGATTTTGAAGTCTGTGTATCCTAGAAAAAAAGAAAGTATTAATCTATTTGATGCTTTCCTTTATTTAATTAATCTCAAAACTATTAAACTGGTTCCAAATTCTCTCGTTAGTGGGTACTTAACGAGTATTAACTTATTTTTTTTATTAAAGAACGATACAGGTGATACCTATAGCAAAACATGACGATGATATGTTACACCCCCGTCAGTTGGAGTGCATGTAATATCTTTTGAGAGGTCCGTGGTCTAGGTGGTACACCGGTAGAGTCATGAGTCATCCATCTTTTTTTATTTAATACCCACACAAAGTTTGAAACTGTTATCTTTGACACTATACAAAGTTTTGACATTAGTATTGCACTACAAAGATGATAAATAAATTATGAATATTAAAACAAAATTTCATATAATCGAATAAGATTAATAAATAAATAATTAAGTATTCAATCCTAATAGAATGTCTTTATTCAAAATACCTTGAACCAAACAGCTATATCTCGACTATAACTTGTAAAGCGCCCATTACGTTACACGTTAAACCAGCGCACGCGCATCCACACTTCCAATCAGTGTGATAAGGTCACCTTACAATGCTCACTGCATACTTAAGTGAGTTCGCTCTGTAGCACACTAGTGAATTACATGCAACGACCAGTTATACCTATTGCAGAGAAGACAGGTTTGATAATAGTCTTCGGTAAAAGTATTATTTTTCAAGTAAGATCGAACTACTTGCAAGTTGCATGGTTAGTACATCAACATAAGGTAGACTATGTCCAGTCTAGTCCAGGATTTATGCGGATTTAAATCCATTGCTATAGGCTGAAGAAGTAAGAAAATACTCACTCTCAATGATATGCTATTTTTTTCAGTGTGGAATGAACTATCAATTCTATGTCGATGTCTCCAATGTGCGCACACTCGCACGCTGGCAATCGTTCGAGTTATGCTAAGAGCTTACTGCTTTGAGCTCAATCAGTGATTCCGATGAACGACATTCCGCGCTGTTCACGTCATGTGATGTGTGAGAATCTTACCGGCGCATCCTTACGAGATATATTATGTACACCGTACTTAATTACGAATAGGATAATTGAGACGTCGAAGGTTCCGTTGGGCTTTAGTGGGTACACTGTACTGGCTTTTCTAGCCAGTGAGTCCCACATTAGGTACCACCTGTAGGCGGATGGTATGCGTCAATGCATTTCTCAACGTTAAAAAAGTTAACAACATTTTATGCCAATTTACTGCCTCTCTATGGCGTTACATTTAATAAAATTCATCCATTTAAATGCGTTCCCATGAACTGACGGGAGGTGGCGGTGACATTGTTTCATTGTTTTTATGGTAATTTTGCGGAAGTGTTACATAATATATGAATGTCAATGTAAAATTTTGCGCAGCGGATGAAAGGACATATATGAATGCGGCGGATAAATAAATAATTGTTAGTTAAAGAATGTAATGATTTAGGGGACTCATGCGCCTGCGCATGAATAGAATGATGAATATGAAGCATAAGTGTGCCGAGGTTGCTTG